TAGGGAAAACCTGTGTTAGTGTTGAAGGCCTAATACGTTGTGTGAATACAGGTTTCAGTAAGCGCCCAGAACCTATCCTTTCATACTGGACTTCTCTAATAGTGCTTTGGATATTAAATAGTAACTTCTAGTTATTTCAAGTACTTAACACTGTTGAAAATATCCAACTATGTCTTCTGTGGAGGGAAGACACTCCAGCTTGCAGCATCAAGACATCCTGTCTGTCTCAGCTATGACAAGTTAGCAGTAATCTACCTCCGAAGAACTGTTTTCTAGACTGACCACAAAACTGAAGATTCATCTTAATGTTTCTCTGTTTTAACTCACTTTGCCTGAAGTTGGCAGATTTACTGTAAAACTCCTTGTCATCCTCATGTTTTTCACCTCAGGAGTGTTCTTCCGTAACATGCCTGTACAGTAGCCCTTCTTGATGGTAAATGGTGCTGATAACTGACATGAGAATATGGTATCTATGTATCTGTCCATTTTGGCAACACAAATGCAAAGCTTGCTGTAGTCATTTGTGGTGTTCGATGTTAATATTTGTCATAAACCAGTAGAGGAAACAGCACTGGCTGCAATTCCACATGTCCACTTGATTTCTGTGAATAAATCAATGGAATAACTACTGTAAAGGGGTAGGAAGGGCTTTCTGTAGATCTACTGGCAGATGCATCCCATCCAGTCTTGTGGGTTTGTGCGGTCCAGCTTTAAGTCTCTAATTCGATGCCGCCTGTACTATGGGGAGCGCATCTCATTCCACAGAGACCTGTGTGGTTTGAGAGGAGGCCGTCTCAGTGACGACTGTTCAGGATGTATATCAATTTGTTTTCTGGTGTTAGGTCACCTGCCTGATTCAGCAGTTTAAAACAGAACTTAGCTGTTACAGTTTCATCTCCGTGTGCATACGAAGTGATTTGTACTTCCCTTTGGTAGCCTCTCCTTCCTTCCATTTCTTGTGGACTTTCTGTGTTTGAGCTCATCCTGGAGGGATGAGTGCTGAGCTCACAGCGTCCCAAGAAAAAGATGACCCTCAGAGTTAATAGAAGCAATTGCAAGTCTGAGGAATGAAGATAATAGTGATTGTTGTCAAGCTGGAAAGTCTCGTCTTAGGCTGTGTGGGGATGGAGGGAGAGGGGCAGACTGCAGAGAGTGTGAGGACAAGGCAGTTCTGTGCGTGTCTGCACCCCAATGTAAGTTCAACACGGGGAGAAGATAGAGCTGCTGGCACCAGTGCTGGTATCAAGCCATTTGAATAGGCATTAAAAGCCACCAAATTTCAGTCCTAGGCCTCTGCTGTAACATGCTGATGCCAGAGAGATGAATTCGCTCTGGCACTCAGATTGGAGGGTAGGATGACTCCAGGAGCAGGTACTGGCTGTCAGTCTGGCTGTTGCTTTGGTGGTGCAGGATTACCTGGTGCCAGAGAAATGAAGCCTCCTACCTGGAGTAGTGTAACCTCAGGTTTCTCTCGTGATAGTCCTAAAAGCAATGCCACCAATACCTGACGGCACAAGGGTTGGAAACAGGGCTGAGGATGTGCTCCAGAAGCGTGGAGTTCTTTCTCCCAAGCTGTACAGCCAAAACTACTTTAAAGGTGGAAAAAATTGCTTCCAAACACGATGGTTACTCTGCAGCCTGCTGAAGTGTTAAAGCAGAGCCTGTGGCCAAAGCCTAGGAAGAACAGGATCCTTCAGTGCTGACTTGTTAAGCTTCCATGCAACTACAGTAACAACAATTCAGTAGAAAAGTTAATGAACAACTGAGGAACTTCTCTGACTTGGCTACCCTGAGCTAAGCAAACAGGATTCACATGTAAAGGAATGCAGACTGTCACCTACATATTCTTAAAGATGTGCAAGTAAAACTCCAATTTCAAAGGCTTTCACAGCCGTACTGGGAATGTACCTCCAGCCAAGCACTTGGAAGAGAACTGTCATTAGACAGCTGCTGAGATGGGCATTTCCTGACAATTTCTTCCTTTTGACTTTCAATTACATGCTTAACTTCAGGTTAACTTGCACCTTTTCCATCCTGCTTTACTTCACGCTGGAATTACTGGTGGTGTAGTCTGAGGGCTGTTCTGCATATTGCTTACACTTCGGGAAGGCCTTTGCTCTTTGGGGGAGGTCGGACTAGGGGAAACAATTGCTTATGATGTTTGCTGTTAGCGTACTTCGTGCCACCAAGGAAGCACTGCTGGAAACAAGGTTTAGCCCAATACCAAGATGGCTTCAATTTTCTTCCATTTCTTGTTATACAGTAACAGCAGCTCTCCCATCCTAAGTATATATATAATAACATAAAAATGAAGCAGGCCCTAGAGACTCTTGCTTCTGCAGCTGCCCAAGAGGTGTATCTTGATACAGATTTTGTTATCTATAACATGCTTGGCAACTGTGCAACTGCTATTGTAAATGAATGTATACGAGTACAATGTCTAAAGTCACTCTTAGGAGCAAATTCAGACACAGGAATGCTATAATCTCAGCATTTTTAATTCCTGGATTAGCCAGAACATGAAACCACATGTTTGCTATTCTGTAGTTCCCAATGTGCATGCTTTACCTAATCCGTAAATTTTAATTCTGTAGTTTATAGCATTCCTGTTAACGCCCCCACATACCTTTTTCTAGGTTATATTGTTCCTTTTAGTCCATTACTGTAAACTTGTCTTGAAATACTAAGATTTCAGACTAGCATGGAAGGTATCTGCCCATCTGAAGACATGCAGTGGAACTACTGCTTTTTAAACTTGGAATGAGTAATTGTGTCAGCGCAAGGTTCCCAGGGCTCAGTGGAAACCCAGAGGAAAAACAGCCCTGAGAGAAGGCAAACTGGATCCTTAGTGACCTTTCCAGACATGCTAAGCAGGGCACAACATGTTCTGTGACTGACAACCATTCATTTAGTAACTCATAGGCTTCTACAGTCCTAAATGCAACCCAAGATGCAAAAAGTACAACTTTTTCTTACTCCTCTCCTTCCCTGCTATCCCCTGAACTGTATTGCAGAAACTAAATTTAATTGCAATAAACTGCGATCAAGTACAACTATCAGATTGTCTGCAATATGTAACCTAATATTGGCTGACTTGCAATGATGTTTAATTTGTTTAGCAGTTACATACTTGGAAAACAACAACAACAAAAAAATGCAAAGTATTTGACCTTAGAAAGCCTAAATTAGAAATCTGATTTTCAAAGTACTCCTTTTGCTCAATTAACTGTCATGTGCAATGTAATTGACTTGATTATCACCTGTTAAGTATATTTTGTGTAAATAACTAGTTGCTGGCACATCAATTACTGTAAACTCATAAGCAGCTGTATGGGTCAGTTAATATTTTTACTAGGGCAGCGAGAAGATTACTCCAGAGCAAAGCCACGGAGCATACGCATGACAGAGAAACCACAGACACATGCACATACCTGTGTGCGCTTCTGATTCTCTGCATCCCTTTGGGCAGGAGCAAAAGCGTATTGAATAGGCTGCTCAAGATGAGGTCCATAGTGCTATACCACCTTTTGAAGGCCTCACTGGCCAAAAATGGGTCCATTCTTTAAGGTGAGTTATGAAAGCAGCTACCTTCTGTTTATAGTTTCTTAAATGGTTGGCTCCGAAGGGAAGCTTTCACTATGGATACAGTGCTTGATCTCGGTGATCTAGGTTACAATACTGAATTTGGACATTGCCAGTTAAAAACTGCAAGTTACCTGAGCTGCTGGGAGCCTGCTTATAAAACATGTCTACTTAGCAGACACTGAAATAAATTCACGTTCCAGAAGCTTTGTGGAAAAATCTTTCATTAGGAAAACAGTGCTTCTGTCAATTTGCTCTTCAGCTTCCTACACTCTTGAGAACAAGCATGTGGAGGTAGAGAACAGTGTGATACTCATTCCTTCCAAACCACTTTAATATATAATTAAATACTAGTCTGTTGCATGATCAGAACTTGCAGACACCTATGTGTAAGCTTCATGAAGCCAAACTTTGTTCTCTCTTTTAAACAAATACATTCCTGCATGTGAAAACTGGAGGGGGTAGGGTGAGGGAGAAGCTAAATGTATTTTGTAACACCTTTTTTAAACAAACAGTTGCATTTGGAGTCTTAAGTAGCCCAGAGTACTCTATGAAATCATGCACTCCTTTCGCTCTGCTTATACTGTTGTTGATTAAAGTGGAAGGAGGGGGCACTGAGTGGTGAACTGCAATGAGTACTTTTTAAAATTCAATCCAAAGGAACTCAATCATGTTCCATAATGGAATTGTAATTCCATGCTACAGCCCTCACAAACATCTTTCAAATTTTGCACTGGTGTCAAAAGTAATGGTGCATTCTGAGTAAGATGGACCTTAGCAACCGTAATTCAGAAATGCAAAGGGACTGGAAAATAAACTCCCCTAAGATTCACAGAATGGTTTGAGTTGGAAGGGATCTTAAAGACCATCCAGTTCCTGGGCAGGGCCCCCTTCCCCCAGCCCCGGCCAACCTGTCCTTGAACCCTTCCAGGGAGGGGGCAGCCACAGCTGCTCTGGGCACCCTGGGCCAGCGCCTCACCCCCCGCACAGGGAACAATTTCTGCCTTACATCTCAGCTAAATTTCCCCTTTTTCAGTCTAAAACCATCACCCCTCGTCCTACCCCCACCCCCTGACCCAGAGTCCCCCCCCCCCCTCCTGCCCCCCCTTTAAGCCCTGGGAGGCCGCTCTCAGGGTCCCCCCGGCCCCTTCTCTTCTCCAGGCTGACCCCCCCCAACTCTCTCAGCCTGGCCCCCCAGGGGAGCTGCTCCAGCCCCCCCAGCATCTCCGTGGCCTCCTCTGGCCCCGCTCGAGCAGCTCCGGGTCCTTCTGCTGTTGGGGGCCCCCGAGCTGGCCCCAGCACTGCAGGGGGGGCTCCCCAGAGCGGAGCAGAGGGGGAGAATCCCCCCCCTGGCCCTGCTGCCCCCCCTGCTCTGGCTGCAGCCCAGGGCACGGGGGGGTTCTGGGCTGCCAGCGCACGGGGCTGGCTCATAGTTTTCCATTTTATAAAAATAAATACAGCTTTTTGACTTTGACAGTGAATAAACTGATAGTATTGCTATTAAATCTATTTGGCTACTTAAATGTCTATTGAATTATAGAATAGAATATTTCAAGTTGGAAGAGACCCTTAAGGATCAGCAAGTCCAACTGCCAACAATTGAGCCATTGACACAACTAAGTTACAATGAGGCAGACTGCATAGCTGTTCTGAAAATATTTTTGCTATTTGGTTATAATGTGACTGTGTTCTTATTTCATAATTAAAAGGAAATAGTGCTAGTGGATCGCTGTAGGATCGCTGTTTTATAACTACGGACATGTTGATACATGCCTCTGCATTAGAAAGTTGCAAAGTTCTGGTTTGAGATTGCAAAGTAGCCATAGAAATAGAAGTTCTGACTCCTCTAGTCTAATTCCCATCTGTTAAATTTCATTGTCTTTATGGGCAAAAGTAAGGATTTGGTACTTGTTTTACACTGTTAAAAATGCCACACCAACAAAACTATGAAAGAAGAGAAAACCAGCATAGGCTTAAACAGAGTTGTTAGTTGCAGTTACAGGGCTACATTCCAGCCTCTTTTCTGTGTGCTATCCTACTGGGGTCAGGAGTGACGCAGATGCAACGAACAAGACAAAATGTTCCAAGTCCATTTTTCTTGCACATAAACTTAGGGCAATATGGTGCCTCTTTATCATCTGCTTCTTCCAGAAGAGGCACTTGCCTCTGTGCCCACCAGAGGTTATTCTTTAAATCGCACCATGTGACAGCTCCATCAACACACCAGCCACTGCAGCTTCACAACCATCTCCAGTCCCCACATTTGGACTTGTTTCTTTCAAAAAGGAACTTCCTGTGTGTCTTGCCAGCTTCACTAGACTCATCTTTAACAGCACATGATCTTAAAAGTTAGAAAAAGTTTAGCAAATACAAGGTCATATTTCCAATTACGAAGTTAGAATCCAGGCTATAAAAAGGTAGATAAAACTAGACTAAACTGCAAGACTCCTTCTTAGCAGCTCTGGTTATCTTGCAGCCAGAATCCCTAACAGGCTAGACAGCAGCAACATGCATTTTCCATGCTATTTCAGGATGAAACTTAAAACGAACCAGAGGGCCTAAGCCCTTGAGGGCTATTCTCTCTCTAATGGTAGCCCCCTCCAAACTCACTGTCTTCTCTTTGTTAAAGATGTTTCTGTCCTGTTTTTATTTCATTATCCCATTCTAAAGAAAAGATAGTGCTGCTGCATTATCTGAGAAGAAAGGGAGGAATGTGGTTTTATGCAGTTATTAAAGCATTCCCAGCACTGTTAGAATCTCCTGCAAGGCATGTATCATAAGGAGTACTCATTGTATGTTCCTTTGATTAGACTTTGAGATTTGTATTCTTTATATGCTGTGTATTGCCTAAAGCCACATTATTAGCTAGGTTAGAGATAGAACACTCTGTCCAAACCATCTCTCTCATAGCCCAAATTTGCTAATCTTAAGGGTTCTTACAGACATGTATTTTATAGACACTTTCAGAAAGTGCAGAAGTTTTCCTTATTTGAATATCTAACATTTTACAGTTTCTAATTCTCAAATTTTATTTAGAGTGAAAACCTGATACAAAACACAAACGGTTGAAATACAATACTATGGGGGGTGGGGGAGACATAGAACCCCAGAAAAATAAGATAAAGAAAATTACTCATTCCTGTTACAGAAGGTATGTTTTTCCTAGTGTGTTGTAGTGAAAGCTGGCATACATAAGAACAAGACAAAGCTATAAAGGCTTCAGGGTGTAATTGCTGAAGCAACAGTACCTACCACTAAAGGATACTGAGCGTGAAGCTGACAGGACACGTGAAAATAAACAGGCATTGTAATTGTCTGTGCTCTTTTATGATTAATACTGTTTTTAATGTTAATATTTAATTTGTTCAGCTGTGTTTTCACTGTTTTTAGGTAGATAATCAAGTGTAAATTCATAGTTCTTAATATTCTAGTTTTAAGCTTGGTAAAAAGTTTATTTGCAGTTGTGCTCTGTTGTTAAGTGCCATGACGTGGAAAAGCCGAACAATTTATATTTGTGTCTTTCAACTCTTCCATTTAGTATGCTGCTACGTAACAGGAAAATGTTTTCTGATTACCTGCTCTCTTAACATTGTAATCTCTTAAATACTTCATTCCTGAAATATTTAAACTATGCAGACCACCCAGAAAGGCTCAGCAGACAAGAAGTTACAAACCAGTGATTTTCTCTTCAAGTCCTCATGTTACTATGTCAAGCAGTAAGTAAGAAATGAATGAGATACTGGAAGAAGCTATCTATTTTTATTTTTCATAGAGAAAATACTACAGAGATACATCAAAATCACATGTTTAAACCAGCTTTCATAAAACCAACTAACTCCTTTTTAACAAATTGTAATCCTAGTTATTCTCACTAAATTTGGACAACTGCCATCTTATTGAGTCACTTGGTTTCTTACAGAAATAAAGCTTGACTATAGGATTTTAGTGTAAAAGCTGACCTATAGATTACGTTTGTTTCCTGATCATATAGTTCTCAGTCAAGCAAAGGCAAGAGAGCACTTTATCTTATATAACATAAATATACTTCTTTATATGCTAGATAAATAGGCTAGTAATATTTTTAAGCAAAGAACTTCATTATACATTTGGTTAAAATTAGTTGAATCCTATGTATAATTACAACCACTGCTTGTCTGGGTCAGGAGCTCTCAAAATATGGCACTGTCTAAAATAAACACATATATGAATGTTCAGAAATTAGAAGGGTGTGAATGAAGGGCACTGCTTGGTATGATTCTGTGTGTATTCATGTGCACATGAGCTAACACAGGAATGTATACAGAAGCACAGAGAGCCAGTCACAGAAGGGCTAAAAATACGACTCTTAAAAGCATATTGATAAGCTATTAAGTTGAGTGCTAAGTGAAAGAGAGTGGAAACTCTGAGCAAGGTTAAGTCTCAGCTTGATTCCATCTGTGTTCAGAGAAGCAGGACTCTATACTGTTTTTTTCAGTATTGTATACAAATCTCTGGAGAATGGAAAAAATTGGGAAAAAGGAGAATTAAATCACAAAAAATAGATGGTTATGGAAACAGATGGTCAGTCCATACTGAATCTCTCAAAATACTCTATTTTTTCAGTTTATGTGATGGTGACTCAAGAAACTAATACAAACTCTGTATTCCACATGTAATACATATTTTAGATACAAAATACACACCTGTATATATATATAAATATGCAAACTAAAAACAAACAAGCACAATATAAACACTTCTAGAATACCATTTTTGTAACTGTTCCTCAAGTTTTTTTTTATTTTGGAATACTTAATTCTCAAAATTGTTCAAGACTCTGAAGACACTTTGAACCATTCTGATCACTCTTTTCATGATCCTGTAAACCAATTTTACAGTATGGAAATAAGGATATTCTACTTCACTTGACAGAAGCATCAGTGGTAACTAGAATGTCAGAAAAGGTGGCAAAGTGCAGAGGCTGAATGAAGTGATCATTAGTAATTATTCTGACTCTAATATAATGAGGATACTTTTGATAATACAGTCTTAAGGGTACACGAGAATAAATATATGAATCCTCAATTAGGTCAGGAGATCTGAACTACTCACCCTCTTCTGAGTAACAAAAATGACACTGGTTAAAGTAACCAGTCTAAAGATGTAGATGTTTAATCTTTTATGCAGTTTTTTCGCTGTCTCCAGCAGTGAAAATATTCATAGTATCGCTTGTTTCAGTGTTGTACTAGCATTGGTTTTATAGTTTCTGAAATTTTTGAGAACACATGCTGAAGAAAAGGATGCAGTTGGGGAATTCCAAATAAGCAGCAAGGCCAACTAAATGAATCATTTTCTGCTGGTCACTGTGTGCATCTGCTAATATGGGAGGAAGAGCTGATTGGAATAGCATAGGAAAAGGCAAGAGAGAAAATTATTTGTTGCTTCTAGACACAAATTTGGGACTGTTGCCTGCTAATTCTGAGCCAATTAGAGAAACTGAAGTAAAAGATGTTGGCAGTGACCACTGTTCTTGCTAGCAATGCCAGATCTGACCATTCTGTAGCTCTTGCCAAACACACAATCCCTTGCCCAGACCAGTCCAAAGCCAGGCTGGTATCAGCAGAATCTTTCCATCTGGATTGCTGCCAAAATGAAGATGACAGAAGGGTATCTGTAATGCTTGTAATGCTTTTCCTTGCCTTTTCTGGTTTCCAGAACAGTGATGGCTGAATGAGCTTAAAGAAACTGAGATGGTGCCCACCACACATCATTATGTTTTAACTGAATGTAAGGGAGAGCAAGTCTAAGGTGCTACTCTGTAGCTCCTACAATGAGAAAAATCTTTCTGCTTCCAAGTGACTGGGCATGTTTTCATGCTCAGTGGAAGTGTATATTACAGAACTATTCCTTAAAGACAGAATGTGTTGGGTTTTACCATGGTACCTTTTCAAAAACTGTCCTCTTCAAAAATAAAGTATTTTGGTATCTTAAAATTGATACCTGGTGCTTTTTTTCGTAAGAACATATGTAGCTAAATGCCAATATAAACTTCTGTTTGTTAAAAGTGAAATCTCTTCATTGCAGGGGAATCCTGAGCCCATGATAGACAATAATGATGGACCATACAGCTAAGATGTTCAAGTCTGACATCTGGAAAGTCATGTTCAATCCTTTGAGGAGGATAAAGCAATAATATCAGATCAAAATACAGTATAAACTTACAGGCATCTTCTCTCATCTCCTGTAATTCTGTTGCTCAATTACAGTGTGAAGGCCCTGGCAGATAAAGCAGTACTTAATAGTAATGTTTTTTTTAAAAAGCTCATAACACTTGTTCAGATGAATGTACTGTAGCATCAATCACCATTCAATTAATATATTTTATTCAGTATAAACTACTCAGCATGCAAGAACTATAATAAAAGGTTATGAAATTAATTGCAGAAAAAGGTGTTAGAAGCTCACCCATTGGGGACCTACTACAAATACAACACGTGCCTGTAAGAACAGAAATAGGAAAAGAAAATCCTGAATTATGTGTAGCGAGTATAATATGTGTGTTGCTGTTGGCTGTAAAAGATGATCCTAAGTGTAAACAACATGCCTTCAGAATCTTCAAGAGAGAAAATAAACAAAAAGGCCAAGGCCAACAATTCAATATTCTCCATTTTCATTATAAACTTGTATAGAGTGGCTCAAGTCTATCCACCATTCAGAAATCCACAAGAGAAAGTATAAATTCTTCTCAGAGCAGATCTCTACAGCAAAAAAAAAAAACCAAAACCAAAAACCAAACAAATCAGCAGTAAGTACCACTGAGGCATTTTCAGACATCTAATAACTCCCTCCAGTGCTGCTTAGGTCCAGTTTGGAATCTGAACTGACAATTGCATCTTCCTCTCTCAGTTACTTGCTGGGAAAAAACAGCTATGCTTCCCTGCAAATGTACATACTAAAGGATGGCAAGGTCTGTAAGCCTAACAGATCATTGTTTTTTAAAAAGATTGTTCATCTGCTTTTCTAAGGGAAAAAAAAATAAATTATTCTTTTTAAAAAAGGATCTGCTCTGATACGGTTTAGAAATCATAAGTGTACATTCCTAAACATTGAAAATAACCATGATCTTACTGTAAACTAAATGAGGCAATTGTCAGCATTGACTTTTTTTTTTTTTTAGTAAAGGCAAAAATGTCATTGAGAGCAGCTATAGAAATATAAATTCTTTCAAACATCCTCTCCGGACCAACATTTCTGACTAGCTTACACACAGACACAGTGATGGCTTTGCTCTATTCGTGCTTTGAGCCAGCTGGACATAAGACCAGCTTCTTTCCAGAAATCCTGTGGCCACATTAGCACAGTTCTGAGCCCAAGCTATTGGCTTCCTGCCTCCCAGCCAGCCTTATTAACTCCATCCCAGCAAGGCAGGATCGCAGCTGCACAGCTGCGACAGTGGAGCTGGCTCCCAGCCGGCTGGTTCAGGGCACAGGCAGAGTGAGCTGTCTGCACCCATCCATGCAGATACACCCTCAAATGACCCTAGGCATTGTGTGCTGTAGCAAAAGCTATTTTTAAGAATTGGTCCTCCAAATAATTGCGCTTCAATTACATAATACAAACCATACTGGAAATGAAGCAACAAAATCTTACAAGATATGATAGTGTGAGTGTTTGTGTCAACATAGCCACAACAGTGTGGCTCCTAAGCATGTCTATGAACCATCTTAAAAAAACTGAGCAGAGTCATTCACTGGCTTTATTTTAAAATGTTTCATTATTATTGAAAATACATACAAAAATGTACATCTTGTCCTGTAGGAGGAAACTCATCCTCTATAGAATGCTACATTGCCATCTAATACTTGTGACCATGTAATTTCCATTATTGCATTTAAAGCATTACTTTCCTTGTAAAACAGCAATACATGTAAAACATTTTGAAAGATCCAACTGTCATGGGAAAGATTATCATGTTGCATTAGTTGCCTTGCTTTCCAAACACATTATCTATCAAACAATGAGGCAAATCAGGAAAGTAATAACTACTGAAAGAATGTGGTCAACCATGACAATTTCCTTCCTTCAGCTTTTTGCTTGGCATTTCTGAACAGTATTGCTCAAACAGTGGAAATGGTAAGTGTGCTTTGCTATAGATTCAGGTCCTTCTTCCCCATTCATTATCCTCTTGAAAACAGAGGCAAGACATGCTGTCAGTGGGTCAGTGCACTGGTTTGCATCAAACCAAGCCAACACAACTCCTCAAAATTGCTTTTCCAATAGCTTTAGAAGTAATTCACAACAGTATTTTTCACAGTCTTCCTACACAGAATGCCTAAAATGTTCAATAACAGCCTTTTCAGGTACTGATGCCTTCAATAGCAAAAGCAATTGTAAGCATACCAAATGTCATGGTATGTTAACTAACAATAGGATCTTCACAGGGATTTCCACTACTCATTCTGTCATCTGCTGTGATTTATCTGGCATTAGATAACTTTGTGCTTCTGTACAAGAGACAGTTGAGTTAAATAGCTGGAATGAAAAATGAAGCTATTAAACAGAATTTAGTGTTCACCTTTTGGATCTAGCTAGATCACTATGCTGTCTGCAGCAGTGGCCACCTAGTGAAGAACACAAGTATATACGGTGTACTCCCAACTGTTGTCAGGTCAGCTGATGTCCTCGGCCTGATGATTTGCCCATTTTATTATCCCCAGTGGATCCCTCCTTCAAGCACTTGTCCAGTCTCCCACTGAGTACATGTAAACATTTTCTTTACAAACTTTGGAAAGGAATCTAACAGGTTTACTATCTGTTTGGTTTGTCATTCTGAACCAAATTTTAAGAGCCCAAAGCAGCCACACACTGAGCTAGATCAAAGACCCACCTAGCCAGTCACCTTGTCATCTAAATCAGCCCATATTGAATGCCTGGAAAAGAGCAGAAGAACAGGCAGGACTAGCATGCAAAGGTATTTCACCTTGTGAATCTCCTCAGTCTTCAGCAATCTTTGGCTCAGGAGTTCCTTAGCCAGGGAATGGTTGCAATTCAACTGTCACTTTACCATCCAATCATTCGTATGCTAATATTCACAGCAGGCTGTCATTTTTACAACCCTGAAAATACAGTATTATCATACAAATTCAGTATCTCACTCACTTTCTACCAATTAAAAAAAAAAAAAAAAGAAAACAAATTTAGGAATATGTTTAACACTACAATTTCCCATGGAAATTCACTAATGATCTCCCTTCATTTTGAAAACAGGCCATTTTCTCCTATCCTTTGCTTCCCACCTTTTAACCATCAATCAATCCATAAGAACAACTTCTTATTCCTTAGCTTAGTTTCTTTTAAGAGCCACAGTCCACAGCACTCTGTAATACAAACAGATCTTTATTTTGGTGCAAGAGCATGAACTGCAAGTACATTAAGATCCTATTTCATAATGTCTCTTTCATAAAAACAGTTTGAAGCAGATCGTGCATAATGGTGATCAAGAATGAAGTTTGGAGTTAGTTTCTATCCTGTAGGTTCCTTTACTAATCACTCCAAGAAGCCTAGAATTTATGGCACCAAGAATGTCAGTCTCATGACTCCAATCAATATGACATCTACCTAGAATACTCGAGAGTATTTAGACAATCATTCTTGTTTTCTGTTTTTACAATGTCTGATTTTCCTTATCAGGAAGTTATTGCCACCATCTAGATAGTACAGTGCTAACAAGATGCATTTCCTATTTAGAATTCATGTAAGTTGTATATTATTTGTTTTTAAAGATATATTTTAACTCTGATTTGTCTCACCATCCTTTAGCAGTGCAAAAGGCTGTTTTCACCTTCCCTACATAATTTATATGCTGGTGTTACAGAGTTTACCCTCCTTCCCTCAAATGTCTAACATGCACAGTATCACACTGTCCCAATTTAAACTAACTATTCTTATTCTCCTATTCTGGATTTGGGGGTTTTGGTGTTTACAGAGCAACAGATTTTAAGTACTTATAGAGATGCACACACAGATAACTGAGTCAGTGCATCCTTCTGCTGGTTGTACAACTGGACTTACTGTTCAACTATTCTTCACTATTTCCTACCTCACTTTTGTCAGTTCTGTCCTGTTGTTTGAAGATATGGAATGCATTTATGATTTCACCCACATAGTATGAACTAACATTGAAAAAGCAACAGTCTAACACCTTGTAGTAATAACACAGTAAGAAAAACAAATTCATATAGCATTTAACCTCAGTCTTCAGCAATATGATTCTTACTTTTTATACTGGGTAACACTTTCTGTAGGTCAGTGGGCATACCTGCAAATGCACTAAACTACCAGGAATTACAAATTGCTGCCAAGTTACACCTCAATAAAAGCCCACTGAATTAAGACTCTGATGTTTCTGATGCAGATTGACTAATAAGCATTTTTTATTTCCTGCACTGAAAACCACTTTGGCAATTCTTGAGGTGTGTAAAAAAATGCTTTTAACAGCATTTCACTAACAAGCAAATTGTTGTTCATGTACAAGGTAAACAAAATACAATTCAATAAAAAGATTTCACCTTAATAAAAAGTAAGCCCTGGGACCATTGATCAAAATCAGTAAATAAATATGAAACAGAAATAACCTTCTGCTTTTATATAATTGTATGCAAAAAAAAATCCAAGTGTCTGTTATATCAGTTTGTTTTAAACATATTTTAAACAAATAGAGACAGGCCAGCTGAGATTAAATGAGAGCTTGGCCCTGAAAAATAATGAGTATTCCCAGTGACCTTTGAAGACAAGGGCGTTCAAGTGCTTTCAGCCTGACAGGCGTAAGAATTTACATCTCAGTATCTCAAATAACTGATGCCAAATAATCTGAGGCCATGTAAAACATTCCAAACATTAACATTTCATAAATTAGCAAGTCTATTCTATAGATAGACATCCCCTTCTGATCCAGCTGGATAACAAGTAGCATAATTTACTCCCTATTTGTTACCACCTGTTTCAGAAGATTGCCACCTGCCAAGTTTTACTGGGAGGGATCCCAGTGCCAGGACTCCATGCAGGACACTGCAGCAGTTCTCAGCTCTGCCACACCATTCTCCTCCTGCCCCATCACTCACACACATGAAGACGTATTCCTCCCACGTGTGGGTACAGCACCAAGTTCCCTCAGGATGTTCCCACTGCTCTTCCCTTCATATGCTCCAGGACATGATATTGGCAGTAGACAACTCCTCACTGTGAGGAAGGAGGAGTTGAAGATCTGAGCCTGCTGTGTGCAGGACACAGCATTCGTTATTTTTAATAGCTATGCTCTTTTCCCCTAAGGAGAAGACAAAACAAAATAAGCCTTTTCAAGGCCTCTTGGTGGAGTCCCATGGGATGAGGGAAGGGAGGGAAGAGGGGCCCCAGGAAACCTGGTTAATATTCATGGATCACCTCCTCCTCCAAGCTCAAGAGAGTCCATCCCAATGAGTAGGAAGTCAGGCAAAAGTGCCAGGAGGCCTGGCATGGGGATGAACAAGGAGCTCCTAGCCAAACTCAAACACAAAAAGGAAGCATAAAGAAAGTGGAATCAAGGACAGGTTACCTGTGAGGAATACAGAGACTTTGTCCAAGCACGCTTGGATGAGCTCAGGAAAGTCAAAGCCTAGCTGG